GTTTGTAGTTTCTGGACCTGGACCTGGAATTCTCTTCTTAATCTCAGTTTGTAGTTTCTGAATATGGACCTGGAATTCACTCTTAATCTCAGTCTGCAGTTTCCAGATCTGGACCTGGAATCCTTTTCTTAATCTCAATTTGTAGTTTCTGAATGTGGACCTGGGATTCTCTCTTAATCTCAGTTTGTAGTTTTTGAACCTGGACCTGGAATCCTCTTCTTAATCTCAGTTTGTAGTTTCCCAATCTGCAACAGGAATTCTCTCTTAATCTCACTCAGTCTGTAATTTCCAAATCAGGAATGCTCTTCTTAATCTCAGTCTGTAGTTTCTGAATCTGGAATTCTCTCTTAATCTCAATTGTAGTTTCCCAATCTGGACCTGGAATCTTCTTCTTAATCTCAGTTTGTAGTCTCTGAAAAGTGAATTTCAAACAGATGGATCCCACAGTATTTGTTTGCAAACTCCAAAGCTCTTCCTCATCCTTTCCTCAAAAACATTCCCTGAGGCAGTTTTCTGAGGAGGTGGGGGAAAAGAAACTTTAAAAAGAGGCAGAAAATAAGGGAAAAAAGCTGATCCCTGCACCATAAATACTTTGAAGCAGAGACAAATGTAGGTCTTTTCCTTTCCTTTCCTTTCCTTTCCTTTCCTTTCCTTTCCTTTCCTTTCCTTTCCTTTCCTTTCCTTTCCTTTCAAAATTCCAGCCAAAACAACAACTGTATTTTATACAAATATATTAAATATTAATCTAAAATAACAGTGGTTTCTCAGCCAGCTGGAATGATTGCTCAGAGAAAGAAACATCTAGCCAAAAGAAGACCCATTTTTGCATGAAAATGTTATATATTGATGCAAATGTAGAAACAATCACAGGGGCCTTCCTGTTTGGGAAGAAAGGCCTCTCCTGAGCCTAAAATGGAGGCCAGAAAACATGGCAGAACAATGGCCCTCAGAGCCCTTAGAGGGTGTTGTGGGAACTGTATGTGGGCAACAACAGCAACAACAAATTGTTTTTTTGTGGGGGACAGTAAGGGTCTTGATGGTGGGTTATGGCCTCCCCCAAAGTCCAGATGGTCCTCCTTTTCCAGGACATGTCCAACATTTTATCCTCCTTTCCAGGAGTAATTCCAAAATGTCCTCCATTTTGAGCACGACTAAAGGCCTAAGCAGACTGCCAGAAACAGTGCACATTAAATTGAGGCACTGCCCTGGCTCAGTGCTAGGGAGTCATGGGAATTGTATTTTTTTCTGAGACATTGAGCCTTCTCTGCCAGAGAGCTCTGGTGCCACAATAAACTACAGTTCCCATGATTCCCTAGCACTGAGCCAGGGCAGTGCCTCAATTTAATGTGCACTATTTCTGGCAGTCTGCAAAGGCCCTAAGAGATATTATTTTTCATCCATATGAGTGTTTGTAGCTTTTATTTGGTAATGACCTCCATTTTTGGCTTGAATGCCCTACATTTTGCCATGCCTTGTCCTTCATTGTGATTATGTTAGCTGGCCACCCTCCTCCCACACACTCTCTCAGCCTCAGAAGATGGCAATGGCAAACCTCCTCTGAAGAAATCTTGCCAAGAAAACCCCATAATAGGTTTTTGGAAATGACTTGAAGGCATACCATAACAACAACAAATCTGAAGATACTGAAGCCAGAAATGGCGTAGTAGTTTGGGTGTTGCAGTACAACTTCTGGAGGCCAGAGTTCGAATCCCTGCTCAGCCATGAAACCTACTGGGTGACACAGGGCAAGTCACACTCTCTCAGCCTCAGGGGAAGGCAGTGGCAAACCTCCTCTGAACAAACCTTGACAAGAAAACCCAGTGATAGAGTCACCATAAGTCAGAAATAACTTGAAGGCACACCACAATGACAAACAATTGTTTGTATTTTAATACGCTGTACCCCACTTTGAGCCTTGAGAAGTGGGAAAGAAATATATTATTATTATTATTAAACAGAAATACAAGCTTGGTCACTGTAGTGTAGTGGTTTGAACACTGGAGTACAACTCTGGAGACCTGGGTTCGAATCCCTGCTCAGCCATGAAACCCACTGGGTGACGTTAGACAAGTCACACACTCTCAGCCTCAGGGGAAGGCAATGGCAAACCTCCTCTGAACAAATTTTGCCAAGAAAACCCCATAATAGGGTTGTCATACATTAGAAACGAAGGCACACCACAACAATTGTTTGTATTTTAATAAACTGTACCCCACCTAGAGCCTTGAGAGGCGGGATAATAATAATAATAATAATAATAATAATAATAATAATAATAATAATAATAATAATAATAAATAGATAGATAGATAGATAGGCCAGTGTAGTGTAGTGGTTTGAGCACTGGAGTACAACTCTGGAGACCAGGATTCAAATCCCTGCTCAGCTATGAAACCCACTGGGTGATGTAGGACAAGTCACACTCTCTCAGCCTCAGGGGAAGGCAGTGGCAAACCTCCTCTGAACAAACCTTGCCAAGAAAGCCCTGTGATAGGGTCACCATAAGTCGGAAATGACTTGAAGGCACACCACAATGACGCTGTACCCCACCTTAAGCCTTGAGAAGAGGCAGAAAAGAAATAAACTATTATTATTATTATTATTATTATTATTATTATTATTATTATTATTATTATTATTATTATTATTATTATTCAGAAATACAACCTAGGCTTATGTAGTGTGGTGGTTTGAACACTGGAGTACAACTCTGGAGAGCAGGGTTTGAATCCCTGCTCAGCCATGAAACCCACTGGGTGACCTTGGGCAAGTCACACTCTCTCAGCCTCAGGGGAAGCCAATGGCAAACTTCCTCTGAACAAATCTTGGGGGGAAAGAAAAAAAAACCCATGGTAGGATCGCCATAAATTGGAAATGACTTGAAGGCACACCACCACAACAACAACAAACAATACAACCTAGGCCTGTGTAGTGTAGTGGTTTGAACACTGGAGTACAACCCTGGAGGTCAGGGTTCGAATCCCCACTCAGCCATGGAAACCCACTGTGCTGGTTTGGTTTGGTATACATTTTTCATTGATTCCAGCGCACTTCACCAGATAAATTAATATTTGGTTCATTTTATAACAGCGGAGTTACTTCTTTTTTTAAATTTGTCTTTTTTTAACTACAACTTTTGACAATGGATTTGGCTTTTAAGATTAGGAGTGTCTGCTCTGGCTGTTTGTAACAACTGTTTGGTTTAATTTGGGCTCTTTTTAATTAGTGTCTAGTTATTTATCCAATGTATTTTCAAGTAATTTTATTGATTAGGAATCTCACATAGGCTGAGAGGCAATGGGTAAATGCCTTGGATTTGGGAAAAAATGAATTAATTGATATATTTTGAAAAATAAACACGGTTGATGCTTGTGGTGAGATTCTGATCACTGTAACCCCAACATGTAAAATATCTTAAGCTTTGCTCCTTTTAGAATTGGTTCGTCATCCCCAGTTTATTGGAGGGATGCTTGATTTTTCTCCCAACAACCCACTGGTTGACCTTGGGCAAGTCACACTCTCTCAGCCTCAGAGCATGGCAATGGCAAACCCCCTCTGAACAAACCTTGCCAAGAAAACCCCATTATAGGTTTGCCTTAGGGTCACCATAAGTCAGAAAGGACTTGGAGTCACACAACAACAAGCCTTCAGAGCTATTAGCCATTAACACCCTTTAGTTTGAAATAAATAAATAGTTTGGCACCCATTACCAGGTGATTATGTTCCCCTTTAGGGCATGAACGGCTTCCTGTTTCTGATCTTGGCATTT